TCACCCACGTGGGAGATCTGGAAAAAGCACCTGACTTCTGTCTGGCCCAGCTCCTGCCATTGCGGCCATCTGGGAAGTGAACTGGCCAGTAGAAGTTCCCACCCTCTCTATCTCTTCCTTTGTCTGTAACTCTGCCTTTCAAATAAATAAATCTTTAACAAATAAAAAAAGAAAGAAAACATCTGCATTAAGGTCTGTTGCTGATGAACATCTTCTGGTTTTGTTTAGCTGAAAATACTTTTGTTTTATTCTCTTTCATGAAAGATGGCTGTGCTAAGGAAACCATCCTAGATTGACAATTATTTTTAGTCATCAATTTGAATATATTATTCCCTTGTCTTCTGACTTTCCAAGTTGCTGACTTAAAAAAACTATCTGTTGTTGCTTTGACTACTTCAAAAAATTATTTATTCAAAAGGCAGAGTTACAGAGAGAAGGAGAAACAGAGAGAGAGAGAGAGATCTTCTATCTGGGGGCTCACTCCCCAAATAGACAAGTGAACCAGGGCTGAGCCTGGCTAAAGCCAGGCACCTGGATCTCCATCTGGTCTCCCATGTGAGGCACAAGGACTTAGTCCGTCCTCTGCTGCTTTCTTGGGCCCAGTAACAAGGAGCTGGATCAGCAGTGAAGGGACTGGAACTGAGTGCCCATACAAGACACCGGCTTCGCAGGCGGTAGCTCAACTCACTGCACCAGAACGCCAGCCCCACTTTGATTGCTTTTAAAATCTTTAATATTCATCAGTTTTATTATGTATAAGAAAGATATATCTAGGCCGGCGCCGCGGCTCACTAGGCTAATCCTCCGCCTAGCGTTGCCGGCACACCGGGTTCTAGTCCCGGTCGGGGCGCCGGATTCTGTCCCGGTTGCCCCTCTTCCAGGCCAGCCCTCTGCTGTGGCCAGGGAGTACAGTGGAGGATGGCCCAGGTGCTTGGGCCCTGCACCCCATGGGAGACCAGGAAAAGCACCTGGCTCCTGGCTCCTGCCATTGGATCAGCGCGGTGCGCCGGCCCCCATAGCCGGCCGCGGCGGCCATTGGAGGGTGAACCAACGGCAAGTAGGAAGACCTTTCTCTCTGTCTCTCTCTCTCACTGT